CAAAATGAGTTTATCCTCTTGTCAAAATACAATTACTAGAAAGGGATGAAATATGCTCTAGTAGTAACTATAGTTTTTTAAAAAGTACTAGGTCTTTTAAAAAAAATCTATATAAAGCAGAGTAACATGGCAATTTAATCTTAAAAGAGTAATATCTTTCTAAGCATAACATGTATTTCAGACATCCAAAATATTTGATAATTTAACTACATAATAAAATTAAGTCTGTATGGCTAAAAGATACCATGTTTAAAAGGCAGCAATGAGTTGGGAAGAGATATTTGCACTGTATATGATAAAAGTCCAATTCGCTTTATTGTAAAAGTCAATAACCCAATAGAAAAATGGGCCAATGAGAGATTAGTAGTTCATAGAAAAGGAATGGTTTCTCAACGTAGGAAAAGGTGCCCAGACATACTCATAAGAGTAATTCCAATTAAAATTGTAAATAAACATCAGAATGGTCTTTTTACCATTAACAACAGAAACATTCTTATTCTTGTTGGAAGTATAAACTGAAATACTGTCCAGTTGCTCTCCAAAGAGATTATATTTACAAATTCAAAATACACATTCTCAGTAAACCAGTAATTCTACCACACCCAGGAATTTAGCCGACCATTGCACTCTCAGGTGTGCACAAAATCTACGTCATATAAGGGTGTCCATTATGACACTTTCTGTAAAAGCAAGAAACTGGACAAATCTAGGAGACTGGTTAAATCAGCACCTCCCACTGGGTACTGTTAAAAAGGATGGAGTTTTATATGATAACATTTCCAAGATAAATAATTCAATGGAAATAAGCAATCCTGTCTTGTTTTAAAGAGGAGGGCTGTAAGAATATGTGCTCTTTTCTGCATAAACTCCAGATAGATACACGAGACTAGCGATATTGGTCAGTGGAGGCAGACTCTCTTTCTTTGGTATGCCCTTTTGTACTGTTTGACTTTTTTCCAAGGTCAGGTATTAATTTTACTTATTAAAGACAAAAATAAAATAAAAAATACAAAGGGAGGTATGAAAGAAGTCCTACTTAAATTATTTGCCCTTTGCCCCTTACTCTTTAGTTAGGCAAAATTTCCACCATACACTTGGCCAAATGTTCCCTATTAATGAGGATGGAAACATTTGTTAAGGACTTCCTTTGTGCTCATGAAAAAAAATAGTGATGAGCACTTTACAAGTTTACACATTTATTTACTTGTTACAATTCTATGAGATAGTTAACAGTATCTGTATTTACTGATAAGACACAGGTTAAGACACATGCCCAAGGTGAGGGCTACAAGGGCATAGCTGCATTTGAATCTGTGAAAGTGGTGGGGATTTGATCTTTCTACTCTATGTTACCTGTCTTAGATGGCACAAGTCTGTTCCTAATGTTGATGGGTATCATTCTTCTACACACAGGTACCGATGGGCCTTTATTCCAGAAGCCTCAGATGATTCTGGTTTGGAAGTCAGAAGGCAAGGCATACATCAACGAGAGTTTAAACCTTATGTAGTACGACTGGCAAAACTTCTTCGAAAAAGGGCAAAGGTATTACACTTCCTTTAAATTTGTCTTTAAGTGTAAGATAGAATTTATAAAACATGTTTATATTGTGTTATGAACTTTATATTTTTCATTACACATCAGATTAATTAAATAGAAATCTTGACCCAAGCAAATAGTAAAGTTGACCCTTGAACAATGTACTAGTAAGGGTTAGGGGCACCAACACTCCCCCTGCCCAGTTGAAAATCCATGTATACCTTTTGACTCCCCAAACCTGAACCACTAATAGTCTACTGTTGACCTTACCAATAATGTAAACAGTCGATTAACATATATTGTGTATGTTACATGAATTATATACTGTATTCTTACAATAAAATAAACTAGCGAAAAAAAAGTTAAGAAAAATCATAAGGAAAATAAATTTACAGCATTTATTGAAAAAATCTGTATATAAGTGTACACATATAGTTTAAACCTGTAGTTGTTCAAGGGTCAGTTGTATGAATTCAGCATGCCATCAGTGAGCCTTTGTTACAAATCTTTTATTTTGCCTTCAAAAATTTAAAAAGTAAATTGTACAATTTGGGGATTTTGAGTTCTAGTCTTCAGAATGTGCTTTGAGTGCTCAGAAATTTTCCAGTCTTCTGGGGTCCCCTACTCAGGCAGTAGCTCCAAAACCACATTCTACAAACTATAGAAAATGGAATGGAGACAGGTGATTAAAAAGGAGGTTGTACTTGAAGGATTTAAAATCAAGTTATTTCTTTAGGGACCAAGTAAAAGGACAGAGTCAAAGATGAAAGTTGGGTCCAGAGTTTAGGGTAGGATTTAAGTACTTCCACTTTGATATCACAGGTTTGAAAAAATATTCATGATAGCAAATCCAGAAGCAAGGTGACTATATATGACCCCTAGGCACATTTACTCTGTCATCATTGCATGTCATTATTGAGCATTTTTATACGATTCCTCCCTTATCTAAGGGATAAATATGACAATCTTATCCCACAGAGTAAGAAAACAGTTTTGATTGGAAAGCATTCCCAAAACACTTTAAACAAGGCCTTCATGGCCAAGCATACTTTTCATGGAACAAAGGCTATGAGTTCTCCTCTTTCCTTCCACAGGACAAGGAGGAGGACTTTAAGACAGTGATTTTGGAGGGATTGGAGATGACCAAGCATCAGGTGAGGGTGGCTTTTTGATGCTTGTAATATGGCAGCAAAAGTTGCCACATCTGTACCAAATATTGAGACATAAACCCAGGTCTGAATTTCAACCATTACAACAGAGTTAAAAAGGAAGTCTTTCTTCAAGTATAGATTGGCGAAGTGAAAGGAGAAACCGTTTGTATGGAAACGTGTTTGACTTTTTAATTTTACTTATTATTGAGGAAGGTGATTCTGATTAAGAGCAGTACACTAAGACAAGTCCTTCTTCTTGGTCAAGCGCTTAGTTAAGTCCCTCTCTTAAAGGTACATCTGGACAGGAACATAAACAAAAGGTTAACCTTAGTTCTCTTACATTGGAAAATATTTATGTAGAGGGATCAAATATATTCATTTTACTTTAGGATAATGTTTAATACGCTCTAATTACTATGGAATTGTCGTTTGATTTAGGGAACTAAAGGTGGTATGGTCAGCCAACTAATGGTAGTCAATACTGTGAAAATCAGTCCTGGGACTGTCATTAAAGCAAGTGTTATAGTTAAGAGAAAGGGAGATGGATCAAGCCCACAACCCAGGCATATGCTCAACTACTGACCCACGCCATCTGGGCAGGAAGATATTTTTTTATAGCCTATAATTGAGACTGGAGGTTAAATCACTACTAACGTATTATATTAACTAAGAGATAGCTGAGATTTTCTGGCCATAAAGAATTGGATGATCTTTTTTTCTTCACATAGTCTTCTGTTTTAACTTAAATCTTTTTTCCTTTCTCAGGATTTTATTTTTAAATTGGCAAACAAAATTAGCAAACAAATCTGTGAGCACACACAAGAAAATGAACTGGATTTTGCATCTCCTTTCTCCACTAGGAAACTAGTGATTAAAATATTAGGTAGAATCAAGTTTCTTGGCAACATCTGATCTTATAACTAATATGACAGATTGTAATTCTGTTTCCTGAGTTCCACTTGATTTTTCCTTTTTTTCTCCAGTTTAGTGTTTGTTTTCATATCTTTGAGTCTGCCTAAGTTCAAGCATCTTTAGTTCTTATAACTTTTTCCAGACATATTGATATCTAACAGCTGTGTTTGTATATTTAGTGGCTTTTCAAATTAGCTTCTTAGTACACAGATGATCTTGTGTTTATTTAGTTGACAGAATTTTTACGTATATACATTCTCATTTGACTTTCCTGCTGCAAGATAGAGTCCCCCATTTTACAGAGGAACCGTTCTGTATCTTGCCCAAGGACACACAGTAAGTAAATGACAGAGCTAGGGCACTAACCTGGATATTTTTACTCCAGTTCCAGCTCTCCTCCCCACATTGTTTAGCACAACACAGAAACAGTCTCCCGAGGGTTCCTTTCCTTTCTCTGTGCTGATGACAATTATTCACTTTGGGTCCTGCTACCATCTTGCGGCAAGTTTAAGCCACTTGGCTAATAGGGAATTGAGTTACTAATGGTAAAATGTATAAGAATCTTTGTTCCTTCCTGGCCTTCTGTAGCCATTTTGTGACCTAGTCCTTGGTTACATTAGTGGGAGTCCAGAAATCTGGGAGCTTTTTGAGTATATGCAAAGCACAAAATAAACTTTTAATATTTGACTCTCCCTATCCAAAACCAATTCTATTAAGCTTCTTTATGCATTCTAGTTGAAAAATGTAACCAGTGTTTGACTCCTCTATATTCACTTAATAACTGGTATCCAAAGGCCTCAGTTAGAAGCAAGAATCTTAAGTCTACAATGAAGATGTAATATCATCAGTTGTATTTGTTTAACTGTTTATTGATGTTTATTCCTTTTTAAGTATTCTCATGTACTATAACATCTGTTAATAACAATTCCCTTTTTGTTTTCTGCAGAAAAATCCAGAGGAAGACAACTCAGGGAGAACATTAGGTTGGGAGCCGGGGCACTTGCTGCTCACCATCTGTACCGTGCGCAGTATTGAGCAGCTCCTGCCATTCTTCAATGTGCTCAGTCAAGTCTTCAACAGCAAAGTCACTAGCCGATGTGTGGGACACTCAGGGAGCCCTGTCCTCTACTCAAACACTTTCCCTAATACGGACATGAAACTGGAAAACCACAAACCATTTTCCAGCAAAGCCAGGCAAAAAATAGAAGAGATGGTAGAAAAAGATTTTCTGGAAGGAGTGATAAAAACTTGAGCACCACAAGTGGTTCCATTTAGTTTAAATGTAAATGTTATCATTTAAAACAAACATTACTCTGAGTTCTATAGTTTCTTTTTTTTTTTTTTTTTTTTTTTTTAAAAAAAGAGTTCTATAGTTTCTTTTTTTTTTTTTTTTTTGTATGATGTAACAAACATTTCAGGTTGTATTTAATTTAAGTATTTGTAAATAAGAGCAAACGTCTGAATGTGGCCTGGATCACGTATAAATATTGTTGGCTCATATTGATTATGGTGCCTAAGAGAGATCTATATATGCATATATAGTTCATTGTTTTACTGTCCTGAGTTCTCTTAAACCTGCAAAATACACACTGCACATTTTTTTCTATTGGCGTCAAGATTGGTTTAATTTAGATTGGTTGGGGAGTTTTTCTTTCTGTTATTAACCATATTTTAGTGCCAGAGGTTTGGTGATGCATTACAATTAGCTTTCTCCCACATACCTTCACTAAGAGGAATAAGGAATAACCGAAGCCTGGGACATGATCCCTTTACATGTAGCACGTCCACCTCAGTACAGAGATATACAGCCTCCATATCCCACCTCTGAGCTCCTGACGATGGTAACTGAAGAGGTAAGTCACTTAAAAATCACTCTGAAGACTTTGCTGGAGAACAATTGACTGCAAACAACATCCTGGTTAGGTAATGGCTACAGAAAAGACATCCCAACATGTTGCTAATAAGATTTAATTTTCCAGCAGCCCTCATGATTTCTTCCCAGCATACATTATAAAGTTAATTGAATCATATATGTAAGCCCCAATATCTTACATTAGTGAGACTGAAACTAGAGGTAAGTTTCATTTAAAAAAAACAACGAATTTAACGAGTGTAAGGAATTATTCTGGTAGTGTTTAAGAAAAACAATCAGACCTAGAAACAATCCATTAAGGTGCAGTAAACATTATGGTTATAGATGTGTTTGAACCGTCACAATAATGGCTTTACCGTTCTATAAAAACCTTTCAAAAATCCAGTCTCTCAAGAATGTAAAAATTGTCTTCATAAACCTGGTTGTGGACTTTCTCCAACCCCTCCAGCCAGCTGAAATACCGCCAAGCTCACTTCATGTGCCAGGCTGTCTGCACTTTCCTGAAAAGTACATTAAAGGTGATTAGATGGGAAAGGCTACTTGCAGCTAACCCTGAGGGAAGGGGAGGGAGCTTCCTGATTGTTTCACTAACAAATTCAAATGAACACTTTTTTTTCATCTTTCAGTAGCAAATTCTAACCACCTTAAATACATGGGAAACAAGTCAAAGTCTCTCAAATAAGGTAAGTTCTTAATCAAATCAGATTATAGTTATTCCAAAACGGAATATATTTAATAAAACATAGTCCTTAAAGGCAAAACACAGCCATAATTATCCTAAGAGTAACTCTTAAGTTCCCCAGATAGCCTCTCCTCACCCCGCCAGGGGTATTTATTCTTTACATTAGAAGCCTGGTGCATGAATTCCTGCACCAGTAGGGTCCCTTGGCCGAGACCGGCTCTACGACATCCCCTGAGGGGTCCCGGATTGCAGGAGGGCTCCAGGGCATGTCCAGCCCATCTTACTCAGTCCTGATCAATCAGCTGGACCCCAGCAGCAAGCTAACCTACCAGTCGGAACATCTGCCCCCTGGTGGTGAGTGAACATCATAGTGACTGCTCAAACAGCCTTAGCATATTATGCTTTGATTGGTTGAACGGATGACTAAACACTTAGCATATTAGGCTTTTATTATATAGGATTCTAGGATGGCCTAAGGCAGGGGTCCTCAAACTATGGCCCGCAGGCCACATGCAAATACAAATATTGTATTTGTTCCTGTTTTGTTTTTTTACTTCAAAATAAGATATGTGCAGTGTGCATAGGAATTTGTTCATAGTTTTTTTTTAAACTATAGTCCGGCCCTCCAACGATCTGAGGGACAGTGAACTGGCCCCCTGTTTAAAAAGTTTGAGGACCCCTGGCCTAAGGCTTCTGCAGAAAAGCTGCCAGCTAATGTATACATTAATGGAAAATGTCTCCTTCTGAGCCCCTATTCAATAGACTATTTTGCCTCCACTGTGCAAATTTTTTATCAAGGATTTATGGTGACAGAAAACGATGTGTGAGAGGGCAAATTTTAATATCCAATCACAAAGATTTGACCCTATCACCAAAACAGCAAAAGCACAGAACAAGGCTGTCATTTAAAGGAAATACTTCAAAAAACAAATTGAGAGTCCAGAGTCAAACATGAATTTCAGAAATGGACCTCAACCCTGATTGTTTTCATGAAACAACAGGATTATGTTTTTGTAGGAAAAAAAACCAACCAGAAAATAGTTTAACATGTGTCAAGCTAAGTACCTATTAGTTATTCATGCCACAATTATAAATATGGCTTTTAGGAAATATAGAATAAATCAAAAGAAAAATATTTGGGGAAAGAATCTAAGTGGGTGTAATTCTGTTCAACTATATAACAACCACTGATGAAAATAATTTCGTAATCTTAATATGAACCTAAAAGGCTCCATAAACAAATATCAGACATGAAATCCTTAATTATCACAGTGAGATTGCAACACTATTAAAATAGTTTTCACCTCCTACTACCACCCCCCACTACCTATGTTATTACTGGATTCCCACTGCACATTTTTTCAATAGAACTGTATCAGCTTACTTGTGAGTCTGCTTCTGCGTATACTCGGACTATATCTTCTGTACCAGAGGGCCGGACGAAAGCTCGGGAAAGCTTGTACTTCTTCACCAGGTCGTCGATTGCCTCCTGTAGTCCTGGGGGTGTGACTGCTTTCCTTTCAGCATCCGTGGTACTAATAACTTGCCTGTCTGCAACCTATGCACAAGCATTTCATGCTTGTTATAATTTCATCCCCATTTCAATTTAACAATAACAGCGCTACATTTCAGCTTCTTGTACACAAAGTACAGCACAGAAAGTAAAGTATCAAATTAAGCATACAATGAAATTACATTAAAATTTTATAATTATTTCTGCCAAAAGCAGGGTTGATGATATCAACTTTTCTTAGTTTCTTCAGTCTACAAAGAACTACCTTTAGCAAAAAGAAATAACATTTCCACATACTGTCTTACAGCTACCACTAAAATAACGGCCAGTAAATACTGTATGACTTAAGTCACTGATCAAGTTAGTTTTAAAAAATCATCTATTATGTAAGAGAATCATGAGAATCTCCTAGTCACAGTGCTCCAGACTAATTTGAACAATCAGCAGCAATTTCTGTGAACTCTGGAGGTGAATGTGTAAACTGGTATAAATCTACATGGAAATCAATTAGCCGTTTATCTTAAATGCCTTTTAAAAATTCTCTCCTTTTGAGCCCACAGATTCTACTCAGCATCTAGCCTGAGGATCTATTTTTACTCTAAATGATAGGCTATCTAGGATGTGCTTCAAAATAATATGGGAATGTGGAGAATGTAGAGGGAACAACTCAAAATCTACTGAAGCTGGGTATATAGGGGTTCATTATTTTGTTCTCTCTATATGTATATTTTAAGTTTTCCATAATTTTTCAGTGATATATAGTTATAATAGATTTGGAAACCAAATACTTCTCAAAGAATAGAATGGTTAAGAATTATTCTGTAATCTTTAAAGATATGAAAAAATACAGTTAGATGATATAAGACATTATTTTCCATGTAATATTTATGTTTAGAATGAAATACGAAACACTTGGGAAACATTTTTATATAGTGAGATTTGAAATAATAGGTTTTAATTTTTAAAAAAGAATTTTAAAATCTTGCTCACACCTTAACTTTGAGCTGTCGGTTTGGAAGATCCGTATAGAGAGCATCCCACTGTTGTATAGTCAGCCCTTTCAGAGCCAAGATTGCCTCGATCACCAGCATGTCAGAAATAGCATCACCGGCTGCCTGCAAGATGGGAGACAATGGAAGGAACCATTCAACTACAAGGAAAGATTAGATGTGAATGTGTCTTAGAAAACTAAGTTTCCTGTGCTTCCTGCTCCTCCCCCTATGCAGCAACATTAACTGGTGTGGATAAATTAAATGTTAATGAGGGGAAAAAACTAGCTCTTGAAAAACTTGCCTTTAATCTTCCTCCTTAGCTATAAAATGAAATTACATAACTCTTAAGATTCCAGCATTAACATTCTATAATTCAAATTTTTCTTTGTAACTAGATCCCTTTTGAGATATGCCATTATGGAAGGCATCATGCAAAGTCTTGGAGAAATAGGAGCTTTGGTGTAAGACATATCTGAAGTTAAAGCCATGTTCTGCCACTTATTAGCGCTAAGCCTTTGTTTCTTCATATATAAAATGACAATTATAATAACCCTTCTCTCTATGTTACAGCAAGGTTTACACAATACGGTATGTAAAGTGCCCAAAATGTGCAAGATGCTCAAATGTTACTTCCACTGCCATTAGTCACACTCCAATTCTACCCAGTCTGACCCACGAGACAACTGATTGTTCTTCCTGAGTTTTGAGAAAATAGGTTTTAAAAAACATATTTAGTCATATATATACTCAGAGGCTGAATCTAATGAAATTTTTCATCAAAAAATGTAGGGCAAGGGAAGCACTTCAATGTTCTGTCATTGTCATTTCAGTGTAAATCTCCACTGTATGGGCCATGGTTGTGAGAAAGCTTGCAGGACTTCACCACTTTAATTTTTTATATAAGCCCACTATTCTGTCCACCTTCTTTATGAATAATGTGAAAGTAACCAAGGCCCCACCAGCCCATCAGTTCTAACCTGGTTAAACAAATCAATAATGTTTTCAAGCATCTTAGCAGCTTTCCTTTTCTTATCTTCTAATTCTTCTGCTAGCTGTTTTATCTTCATTTCAGCAGTTTTACTAAACAACACCTGTAATGAGAGCGTACACAATCACAAAACTACCGCAGGCCCAGTCATAAGTACTATCATGCTAAACCACTTTTGAAATTCTCAATGAATCTAGAGAAACTAAGGGGAAAAATAATGGCAGCCTTACAATGTATGAAATTAAGATCAAAGTAAAACCCAAAAGATATTACTAAGGAGAAAAAAGGTCCTTTGTGGATTATAAAACTGGTTATTGACAAATAAAATACCACCTTGGCAAAGGTGATCACATACATGGGTTCATTATGTTTGTCCCTCAGCCAGTTTAATCAGCTCTGTGCAACCAGGTTTCTTAGGTGGATCTGTATCATTTTACCTGAAGTACATAATTCATTGCAACTAGTATCTTTTTATCCTAAAATTAAGACTGTAAGCCAGGCAGAAGTAGAAAGCGCACTCCACTCACCTATATCATATTGTGGCAAATAGTGCCAAACTATTTATTATAACATACATCACGTTCCTCAAGATTTCTGTCATTTTGAAATGCCTTTCCCATGATTTTAGTGCCTTCAGATGCCCGCCACTGAGGAGGAGCTGCATACCATGCTCAGCCACTTGCTAAAATACTTACTTGTTGGTAAACTAAGGTGCAGCTGGTCACTTGTTTGACTAGAATACAGCCATACACATTCATTTACCACACACCAGCAGGCCTGACCAGTTGTAACAGACATTATAGTCCCAAAGCCTAAAATATTTACTATCTACCCTTTATATTCATTCACCAACCTCTGCATTAGATCACTGAAGTTACTTTAGTTGTATTTTCTAAGAACTTATTTTACTTCTACTTTCATTCATTGCCTCTAGAAGCCAATTTTGAAATTCATGAGGAAAATTATTTGACCTAGATAAGTTTTTGTGTTGGGCACCTCAAATCTATCTATGAAATGAGGTAAAGTATTAAAACATCTAAAGAAAAATTATGTACTTTATGAATATACTAAAAACCATTTTACACACCAAAATTGTGAATTTTATGGCAGGTGAGTTATATTTCAAAAAACTTTTAAAAACATTCTGTCTGCTAAGAGCACCATAAAAAAAAGTGTATGCTTACTGCTAATTACATTTCCAGTTGTTTATAACTTAATTCTCAAGCTATCCAACACTTTTCAATTTACCACACCTACTATACTTTTTACCACCTATGGCCAGTTGAACAGAGTATTTTTAAATGATGTATAGACAACCAGCTTATTAAAAAATTAAGATGTGCATTCTTATAAGTAACTATACTGTAAGAACAAATTAGCATTATTTCTTCACTCTCAAAGGAAGATCAACCAAATCAAATTCTACTACCATCCCAATAATTTCAACAAAGTAGAATATTACCTATTACTAACCAGATATAGAATCCCCATCATTAAAAAAAAAGTGCCAGCTAAAGTTGTAACTGTTTAAGAGAACTTACTGTGCCATGCCCATTTGCTTCAAAATAAATTCCAATATCAAACTCCTGAGCCTTATGATGCAAATGTTTTACACCAGTTTTAGTACAATAGACTGGGACCTATAACACATTAAAAAAAATAACAGCAATTATTTAATCAGCAAATTCATTGTGTACCTACTATTCAGGGATACAATAGGGAGCAACACCTGGGGCTTAATCTAGTGAGGAAGATAAAGCAATTGAAACCAAAGTGGTAAGAGAAGGCACTTAGAAGCACAAAAACAAGGGAAAAGCAAGGCGAGAGAGATGAGGATGGAGGAGTGACATGATCTGGTACAGAAAGCTCAATTTAGCTACAGGATGAAGAGTGGCTTAGAGTAGAGGTTTACAAGCTTTTATTATAAAAGGCCAATTCTAGGCTTTGCAACCACATTGTCTGTTACAATGCTCAACTCTCATTATCTGTGAAAGCAGCCACAGACAATACAAAAACAAATTAGCATGGCTGTATTCCAATAAACCTTTATAAGCAGGCTGGATTTCCCAGCTTAAGAAGAGGCCATTAGGAGTTTTCTAGGATTAATCCCAGTAGGAAATTATGGTGGTTGGACTGGCAACAGTGGTCAAAGTCTTGATAGTGCAAAACTACAAAAAGACCAAATAAGATGGACATTTGATTGGATTTAAGAAGCCTCAAGAATCATTAGAACTAAAAGTATTTAACCCTTTGCGGTCCAATGTTATTTTTGGAATTCAAACAGTCTGGTCCAAATTAATTGACGGGATTGAATGTTGAACTTTTTAATGTTCTTATTGCTCGACGTTGGACCTGCTTCTAGCGCCTGGTCTGTCGAGTCAGCCTCGAGGTTGGAACGAAAAGGGTTAATTTATTAGAAAATGGTTGAAAAGTAACAGTTTCTGATGTACTCAGTTTCTTAAATGGTATCTTACCTATAAGGGATTTTTAAGACAGAACACAGGAATTAAAATAGTAAAACAACCACCTGAATACTGAAAATCCTGTGAAAAGTAGGCAATTGGGCCCCTGATGGAATTCCCTTGAGTAACTACTGTAAACCACTTTTGCCCCACCCTGAAATCAATCAGATCACAAACTCCAGCCTCCAGATGAGTTTTATTGTGCCTGCTTACTATTTTTCTTAAAATTTGTATCAGTTGCCAAGACTTAAAAAGTCAGAAATTTACATGAAAATTTCTGTTTCAGCTCCTCACAGCTGGCTTGGGCACACTCTTCCTAGTCCTCACCTGCCCACTGTACTCATTCACTTCAGCTATCCAGATCCTATAGGAACCTGGCTTCACCATTCCTACTTTAAAACGAGTGGCAAGACAAAAATAGCAAAATGCAGGAACTTATAAAGGGATACACAAAAGTTAAAAAAGACTGCAGTAGCTAGTGAGAAAAAGAGTCAAGGCAAACAGACCCAAGTTTGGCCATGAACCTCTAACACTTAGAGCAGTGTCATACAGACGGTGGTCATCTGGTGGACATTGGGGAAATAATCAGAAACAGAATCTATCAACCCAAAAAACTTCTCCACAGAAGAGTAAGAAGACAGTTTTATTACTGAATAAGCATTAAGCCAGACTAGTGATACACATCATAGTCAATCTGCTAAAAGGCTGCAAAGACAGAAAGGCCCTTTTTTTGCATCAGGAACAATTTAATTTTTTCTTTTAATTTCTAGTTAGCCTTACATGAACAAAGACTCAGCTTCATGCACTACAACCTATTCACTTTTATGAGGGTATTATTTTCCACACAGAAATATCTTACAGTCTACACTAATAAAAGAGAAACATGCAAATTGCTGCCACTTCGCTACGGCCACCAGCCAATCAGAGCGACTATGCAAAATAACCCAACAAAGATGGTGGTTAATTTGCATATGCAGGCATAGAGCGAAGACTGAAGGCTCCGGCCAGAGTGAAGACTGCTACAGCTGGAGGGGAGAAGCCAAGCCTCCCTGCTGCCGGACCAAAGGCCTGGGTCCTGGGTGCCAGAGGAAAACCGGTGCCAGCAGCCAGGGGAAGGAAGGCCTATTGCACGAATCTCTTTGTGCAACGGGCCTCTAGTAAAATATAATTAAGAAACCACCAGAAAATGGAAATGGTTCAGTACCTTCATAACGTCTTCAAGATACCGTGTTGAGCTTCCATTTGCATATGCAGTTTGTACAACGCCAATATTCAGACTTTCTCCAATCTAGGCAAAAACAATGAAATGACCATGCATCTAAAGCAAAAACACTCCAAAGCAAACGTACGTTCTAAAGGATGACAAAGTGATCAACAAATTCAGCTGTGCCTTATTTTATGCAATAAATAAATGACTCAATCAAAATTTACATATAGGCCAGAAAAAAAGCTAAAATACTTCTGGGCATTATTTAAAACAATTCTACAAGGAATCTTTTATAAAGAAACATGTGGTTTCTTGATCTGTATCTCTTTAATTTTTTAAATAAAAGTATTTATTGAATTCTTGAAGTATATCTTGAAGTAGATCATAATAATTACTTCCCATTCATCCTATAAGGCTAGCCAGAGACTTCCAAAAGATCAAAACAAATCTCTGAGGATGAGATTTCCTATTTAAGCTTGAAGCTTTGGGGATTTATGGTGGAACTCCCATTATTAAAGTGTCAGTTATGAAGAATTCAAAACTTCATAAAGCTTCAAATCATAAAACTTTGCCAATATAAGGAAGCAAAGAGTAACTTCAGATTCCAAAACCAGTTCTCCAAAGTTGAAATGTCTAGAATAACCATATCTTTTTGTATTTTCCAGCCACACATGTAAGGAACTTCCCATAAATTGTGCCTTTGAGACATTCAACTGACTGCTATAGAGGCTAAAGAACTATTTCACTAATAAGTCTAGTTTTAAAGGGTAGTCAATCACTCCCTGCCATACCTCCAACAGGAGCTCTTTAAGGAAACTACTAATGAGTGTTGCTATCTTGTCTCCATCAATGAGATGAAAGTGGCCATCTGCATCATAGTAGTAATAAATAATTCTGTCTGCATCTCCATCAAAGGAACAGCATCTTTCATTGGGTTTCATTTCTATTCCTAGTACACAGAATAATTAAAAATGCATTTCAGTCTAAAAAACGGGAATACAACTCAATATTAAAAGTTTTAGGTTTTTTTCTTATTCTAGTTGTAAATGGAAATTTTTTCACTAAAGTATGATCACAGCTGGTCTTATGTGTTACATGTAAACATGTCCACTATGATTATTCAAGAAATAGTTAAAATTATCCTTCCAAATAAAAACCAGTGTCTTAATCTTCGAACAGTATGCAGGCTTATTGGTAGTTTTTACAGGGTAAATTCTTTCACAGCTAACTGAAAAAGAAGCATTCAAACTCTATGCTGAACTTGACATTATGCTAAAATAATATTCCACTTTATAAGCCAGTTGGTTTGGCAACATAGGTTCCCATATAGTTGTTTAAAAGCTACAGGTATTCCTGAATGCAATTTATCTAGTCTACTATGTCCTTTACATATAAAAAAAATCAGCAATAGATGAGGTATGTGCTTTAATTCAGATAGGAATGATTTTTATTGTTCACACCATCAATAACAAGAAGCTGATGTTTCTATCTCTCCCTCTCCCTCTCTTAAATCAATAAAAATATATTTAAAAAAACAAAACAGAATTATAGCCCATGAGAGATAAATGGTTTCTGTAATTTGCATAAAATTATTGAAACCTCAGTAACTGTTACAAATTTATTAGATATAAGGATGTCAACATATTGCCAATGCAACATGAAGCAAGTAGGCAGTAAATATGAATTTAAGATTGACTACAGGGTTCAACACAAGCTCCATGAAAGTCAGGGCCTATGGTTTGTTCATACTATAGCCCCAGTGCCTACAGCAAGATAGAAAGCTCATGATTTAGTGAATGGATAGATCAGGGCCTGAGAATTGAGCTGCAGGTAAAGTAGTAGTCAAAACTAGCAACCAATGAAAGGGAGCTTAAATTGGTTAAACTGGAAATTTAAATGCTTACTACAGTAAGGCATAAAGTAACGTTAATGTGAGAAGCCACTAGATAAGGTCTGTAGAATTCTGAAGAATGCAGTCCTGTCTTAGTATGGAGCCACTCTACTGCATCCAGTACACGTGACATGAGGTAAAAAGAAGCCAGATTCCAATATTTAAGTGAAATCAAAGCATTTTAAAAATGGCCCTAGCCAGGTAGCTCAGTTGGTTAACGCGTCATCCCGATACATCAAGGTTGAGGGTTCAATCCCCAGTCAAGACACAAGAATCAACCAATGAATGCAAAATTAGGGGAACAACAAATCGATGTCTCTCTAAAATCAATAAACAAAAATTAATAAAAATAAGTGGTGGCAACTAATGCAATTAAACACAGACACACAGATCAAACAAAATACATTTGCAAACCAGGCTAACAATTTTGAATCTATAATGCAGCTAAATATAGAAACCTCTTACTACAACTACAATCTGAAGAACAGTCTCCCTCCTAACATGCCCACTGTGGAAAACACTGATTCTGGAAACACATAATTCAGCAGGAGCCTTCTTTTTCCACAGTGTGTCTAATTCAATAAGATGAAAAATAATGCTACTTACCTATTGCTATTCTTTAGATCAGTGATTCTCAAAGTGTGGTCCCCAGACCAGCATCATCAAAAAGCCCTGGACTCTTGATAGAAATGCCAATTCCTGTGCTCTACAAACCCGATCCAGACCTACAGACTCCAAAATTTGGTGGGAGAGCCCAGGAATCAGTGTGTGAACAAGCTCTCCAGATTACCAATTTCTGAGTTTGCTTTCCCACTCCACACGCTGTGAGGAGTCCTGTGACCCATAGGCAGAGTCCATGTTTGGAATGGCACTGATGTGTAGGAAGGTGTCCAGATGTCTAAAGTGACACAAAAACCAAATGCATGGCTCCTCATTTGGCCACTTTTGTTTGTAAATGAGATTGGTTTCAAAACTCCAAAAACAAATTTTTTACATACCTTGTGGAGGTTTCTGATGACTTTTCACAAAGTCAGCCCCACATAAATGATTAAGTTTCCCTGTAGTCCCAACGTTAAACAACTGAATTGACAGCCCCTGGGAGAAGTAGTTTTTCATTTCTCTCAGCTTCAGGGCCCCTATGCCATTTGCACAGTCAACCTTAAGTAACAGGCATTCGTCACCACTGCAGAAAGCCTTAAAGGAAAGACACAGGGAGGAAAATCTCAAGTTCTAAAGATAAGAGTGAATCATAAGGCATGCATACCCATATGTAAACATCTTCCATTATTTCAGTTCATCTATTTTAAATCAAGAAACAAAAGGGCACACATATTCAGATGAAAATCATAAAACATCAAAGTAAAATTTTAAAATACCCTTTTTTGAACACTTTGACACAGGAACAGTTTCAATGATTGAATGACTTATGGAAATGGAGTTTGTTAAACAAAAAATTTACTTTCACAGCTGAAAGTCTTTTTTAAAAGTCATTGCTAGAAAAAAAGGACTGCTCTTGGGGTTAGAGTCTAAAACCCCAGCAGCATAGCCAGATAGAAAAGACAGACATGACGCTGTCGTCCCAGAGTTGTGCAAGTGTCTTTATACATCACATACGGGGAGAACGATGTGAGTGGTTTACAGGGATTTACATTAGCTATAGACAAAGGGATGGGAGAAGTGAATGGGCCAGTTCTGGATAGGCACAGAGTCCAAGTCAGAGTGTTTGCTCCCTTGGATAGGTTATGGGCAAGTGGGAAGTTCATGTTAAATAAGAGGCAGAGGCTCCTGGGGTTCAAAAATGCCTGGCTATTCTCTCTTTAGAATTGCAGGCATAGCACCTGGAAATTAATCTGAAGTTCCAAAAGACACCTGCTAATGTGAGCAGTCTCTTGTTAGCTGGTCCACAGCTGTTAACAGGTGAACCGCTGTTTTTCTCTCTCTCTCTCTCTCTCTGGGTACTGTAATTTAATTTAGACCATCTCTTAATTTTTTTTTTTTGGTCAAGCTTTCTTAGATTTAGCCTCAGTAAAGCAGGGTTCCTTAAAAATAATATAGTCTATGTCACATGACAGTCTTTCAAAGGTGGAAATGAGCAGTAAAACATCTCTCATTCTCTTCATAGTATATAACACAACGAGGCATTTTTGTTTGTTTTTTTTCTAATTGACAGTCTCCTCTCCTACCCATCCTCATCCCAGAATATAAATTCTATGAGAGCAAGGGCTTTGTTTTGGTTTGCTGTGCCTGACAATAACATACACTCAATATTTATTGATCAAATGAATTAAGCTCCTCAAATCTCATCCAGGTTTAACATGCCAATTCCCTTAACAAGAAAATCTCAACAGTAAGATGCCTCAAGTGTGATATCAATAGCACCTACTTAAGAGTAAACTCGCCCTGGCCGGTTTGGCTCAGTGGGTAGAGCTTCGGCCTGCCGACTGAAGGGTCCCAGGTTCGATTCCAGTCAAGGGCATGTACCTTGGTTGTGGGCACATCCCCAGTGGGGCGTGTGCAGGAGGCAGCTGATCGATGTTTCTCTCTCATAGATGTTTCTAACTCTCTATCCCTTCCCCTTCCTCTCTGTAAAAAATCAATAAAAATATATTTAAAAAAAAAAAAGAGTAAACTCATCTGAATGAATACTTATTTATAACACAAGAAAACCACCATGTTTGTTCCCCCAGTGATCTAAGGATGTGTTACATGCCTTGCCAAGTAAATGCCAACACACAGTTAGGATGCAAGGACCAGAATTTGTGTAGTCCTGGAAAGAAAATGATATGCTGAATTTTTGGAAAAAGGAGAAGTGACAAACTATGTAATTAACATTCAAGTTTTCACCTGTTTGGTAAGCTCCACAAAGGCCTTGGAGAGCTTCTGGTAGTAGCCTTCTGTGGTTGCCTTTCCATACTGGCCCTGGGTATTCCGGCAGTACACCATGTAGTGCAGCTGTGGTGTTGTCAGCAAGCCATAGTCTGTCACAGAAGGAAAGAAAGCAGTGTATCACATTTCTTAACAAAGAAAAAAGTTTAAATGGATTCATACTGAAGGAACTGAAGGTGACAAAATACAGTTCAGAAAACACAAAATGCTAAATTTTAAAAAGCAAAAATATCCACTAAAATCATTACAAGTGCATGTCACATTGTAATTTATAGTAAGAAATATGTATTTGGTCTTTGTCCCCATTCCTGACAGAGCTTCTAAACCCTTGGGATTTCTTAAACAAAGAGAGCAATATGATGTCTTTTATTACCTTAAAAAAGTGATATTTGGGCTCTGGCCGGTGTGTCAAGTGGTTAGAGCTCTGGCCCATGCACAGAAGAGTCATAGGTTCGATTCCAGGTAAAGGGCATGCACCTTTTTGCAGGTTCAATTCCAGGCCTGGTTGGGGCTTGTGTGGGAGGCAACCAATTGATATGTCTCTCTCACATCGATGCTTCTTTCCCTCTCTCTCTCTCCCCACTCCCTCCCTTCCATGCTCTCTAAAAAAGCAACTGAAAGAATATCCTTGTGTGAGGATTTAAAAAAAAAAAAAAAAAGGTGACATTTGGAAAGCCCCTAGGTAATCTAAGCATGGAGGCTGATTTCACATGACTAAAGGGTTGCTACCCTCAGCCCTTTCCCCCACCCCCAACTTCAGAGAGGAAGGCTGGAAAAGCTAGAGATTGGGTTCAGTCACCAATGGCCAATGATTTAATCATTCATACCAATGTAATGAAGCCGCCATAAAAACTCAAAAGACCAAAAGGCCAACATTCTAGTTGGTGAACATGTGGAGACTGGGATGCTCAGAGAGCATGGAAGCTCTGAATCCCTCTCCACACACCTTTCCCTACGCATCTCTTCAACCTAGCTGTCCCTGAGTTAAATCCTTTATAATGAACTAATAACCTAGTCAGTAAAATGCTTCTCTGAGTTCTGTGAGCTGCTTTAGCAAATTAACCCAACCCAAGGAGGCTCCAGATTGGTCAGAAGCCCAGACGACCTGACCGGGATGTGAAGGAGGTGCGGGGATGGCAGTCTTATGGGACTGAGGTAGGATTAAGCACTACCTCCAGGTAGGTAGTGTCAAATTCAGTTAACTGTTTGGTGGTTATAAAAAAATACACTTTGAACACAAACTCAATTCTAAAAGAAATATGAACTACTGATAACAAAATCACTCAGTATAGACAAATAAAAAAACACAGAGCAGTACAGAAAAGTTGTAATTGAGTTATATTTCCAGTAACATTGCAAACTACATAATTCAAATGAACACTCCTACAAACAACCAGAAATGCTAGATTAAAAATTTCTTTTTAGAAGTAACTGCAGTACCAACAAGTTGTAGAGGAAGTAGGCCAAAATCTATTTAAACAGAAGAACTCCACAATTAGAGCCAAGGAAACTAGTTTTATTCTCTGGACATTCCTCAAAACTTGAAATTGAGCTATGGTTTTCAGTGCAAAAAAGTCCATGTTGTTCTAAAGGGGGGACCCAGTAGAAGGCCAGGCCCTCATAAAGCTGAGGCCCCAGAGGACTATTCTTCAGTGCAAACGTGAGTCAAAGTGAATCAAAAGTGAGTCGTGGAGGGGAAGAGATCAACCAAGGAACTTGTATGCACAGAGGCATAACCAATGGGCACAGACAATGCAGGGGGGCTGGGAGAGGACAATGGCGGGGGGGGGGGGGGGCGCATATGTAATACTTTCAACAATAAATAAAAAAACAAAAACAAACGTGAGTCAAGACCCAGCTGGGTGGCTCAGTTGGTTGGAGTGTCATCCTGTACATCAGAAAGGTGGCAGGCTTGATTCCCAGTTGGGACACGTACCTAGGTTGTGGGTTAGAACTCTGGTCAGGGTGGCTACTGGAGGCAGCCAATCAATGTTTCTCTCTCTGTCTCAAATCAATAAACTTCTCCTCGAGTGAGCAGTAAAAAAAAAATAAGTCAAAAGTCCCCTCCCAGAAAAGCTGTCTTAGAACTCAGCACAGCAGAGGGAAAACCCACAGCTAAAGAACATAACCACAATCACATGCCTCCCATGGATTTCCAACCCAAATTCCCATAACCACACGGGTCTAAAAGAACCTTGTCATCAAAGAACCATGTCATCAACCAGCCAGGTAGTACTTCCAGCAGAAGCAAACATTAAACTCTGCGTTCACCATAAACCTCAAAAATGTCCCACAAATAATTTGTTTTTCAAGAAAAACAAATAGCTTATCGTAAAAAATCTAAACACACAAAAAAAGGCAACATGAGCAAGGAACAGGAGAAATAGATAGCAGGGATAGGCCAGTATCCAATAAATATTCATTCATGAAATCTGTCAACAGTCTTCAAAGTCATGCACTAGAGTTTGCACTGAAGGCGAAAAGTCATTTAAGTTCTTGGCTGTGGTATAAGGATTAGATGAGAGGAGATGGAGAAACCCCCAAAATAAGTAAAAGCTTAAGTCTAAGGAGGAGAACTGTATAAGGAAGAGAAAAACTATTCCAAAAGGCATACTAAAGGATGAAACAAATTTTATGACCAATATCAAAATTACCAAATAAACATTCACTAAATGACTATTTACAGTTAATAAAAAGCATAACCCCTCTATTCCACTGATCAACCCCAAAACATAGAAATCATTCTTCACAGCTCTATCCTCATCACATCACAAAATCCTTTGGGTTAAATGTTAATTTCAAGTCCCTCCATTTCTCTTGCTATCATTACTCTCGCACAAACTTCTGCACAGTTTCCTCACTGGTCTCTTTTCCTTTCTTACAACTTTCCTATCTCTCGCTACACAATAGCCAGAGTGACTGCCTTAAAATCCTTTGGTGGAGACCCACTGCATCTGGACTAAAATCCAAATCTTTACCATGACCTCTAAGGCTTGGAATGACTTGGCCCCTGCTCACCTCCCTAATCTTATCTTCCAGTAGCTTCCCCCAAAGCTCCTTGTGCTGTAGCTCCGTTAATCTTTTGTTTCCTGAAATACACTGAAGCTGGAGAGAAATGAAGGAAAGGTTAAAAAAAAAACAAAAAAAAAAAACGCCTCAATTTTTTCTAAAATAAAACAGTAAAAAAGTGATGCTTCTAGAGATGGAATCAAAATGTTGAAAATAACCATTCTAGGAAGAACACAGTTTTGGGCAGAGTGAATGTAAAGCAGGGGCAGCCACTTTATGGGGCGTCATTCAGACCAACGCACTGCACACTGCAGGCTGAGCCACTGCATGTCTGCATTTTCTAAAGCAATAGATGAATGCACATCGTGTAGTATGGGTAAGTAGTATGTATGGAAACTTTTATCTCAGCTATACATACAAGCACACATACACACGTCATGATACCAAATGGGTTTCTTACTATGGGTTGAAATAGTGAAATATAGACTACTGATGGGTTGTAAAAACAGGCATTCAGAAATGTTTGATGGCCCTGACCGGTTTGGCTCAGTGGATAGAGCGTCGGCCTGCGGACTCAAGGGTCCTAGGTTCGATTCCGGTCAAGGGCATGTACCTTGGTTGCGGGCACGTACCCAGTGGGGAGTGTGCAGGAGGCAGCTGATCGATGTTCTCTCTCATCGATGTTTCTGACTCTCTATCCCTCTCCCTTCCTCTCTGTAAAAAATCAATAAAATATATTTAAAAAAAAAAAAAGAAATGTTTGATGAATAAATAAATGAGTAAATGAAAGAATATACGTAGCTGGAGCTATGGCGGTAAAGATGACCACTCAGGCAGAGTGAGAGAGAAGCGAAGTATGGCCACATTAAGATAGAGGGTAGAGGAGCACACAGAGAAGACCAACAAGGAACAGTGGCCAAGGAAGCGGAAGCTTAAAGAAAGAGGGGGGCCAAATTATGGACAGCTGCCAAGACATAGACTGAAATAAAAATTTCAAAACATAAATTCTAAAAGTTATTTTTAGGTTGCAGATCCCTTTGAGTATCTCACAAAAGCTATGAGTCCTCTCCCCAGAAACTAAGTGTGTGTGCAGGCCACACTCTGCATACTGTATTAACAGGGATGCAGGGTGTGGGCAGCTTAACCAACCACCACCACCCACCGCAGGTCCCGGGCCCAGGTTTATAACACCCACTGGATTTGACAATTAGAATTCAGGTGTCAGGAGGCCTTTCACTGGAGGGGCAAGGATGGAGACTGGCCTGTAGTAGGCGAAGTAACGACTAGAGGAGCAAAGAGAGAAGTGAGCTAGGTGAACTATTGGAAGAAGCCAGGTTATCTGTGAAGGAACGGAAGACACAGGATCTGGAAAGGAGGCTGAAAAGGTGAAGAGAAGAAATTTTTAAATGAGAACAATCTAACACTAGGAAAATTCACCTCCAAGCACAACAGGTTCATTGTATTCACAAGGGGCGGGACCTATATAAGAGGATTCTAGCCTCCATTTTGTTGCATTTAATACTTCCTCATTTGTTAAAAATAGGGGGGAAAAACCCCGAACCACTTGTCAAAACTTAAAATCATGATTACAAGTAGACCAAAGATACTTTCCATACCTACATGACAGACAACAGCTGATTCCACACGTGATCAGCCATTAGGGAATGAATACCTGATATTGACAAAAACTCCCTAGGATAGACTTCAAGTAACTTCAAGGAGTTTTATATCAAGAAGTTCAGCCTTACTAAAGACAGCTGTTTAAGATGCTTCCTACATGTAATGAATGTATACATAAAATAAAATATGCACGCCCAGAAAAATTTTTTTTTAATTTTAAAGACTAGTATTTTATATCCTAAAATTCATTTTTAAAAAACTTTGCTTATCTGTACTCTCAAACCTTTCTAAAATAAATATGTATTACTTTTATCATTTTAAAAATGTTTTTTAAATATTAAATTAATTTACAACTTAAGATAACTACATACCATGGAATTGACCTCCTGAAACAGTGATGCCATCTATTACAGACTGTGAAAGTTTCTCACTGCTGGGCCTAGGAAACAAAAGAGGAAAAATAGTACCTCCCATCCAGAAACCAACAGGTAGATGGCTAGTTCTGAAAGCTAATGCTGAAATTATGTGCTATAAATATCAGAATAATAAGGTCATTATATTTGAACTGAAACCTGTCAAGTATGAAAACTCTGAAAAAAATAATTTGGTAGAGTATGAGTAGTCTTTTACAATGTTATTTCTTGGAAAGATACTGGCTTTTAAATGAATTTAGAAAATAGATATAAAGGATGCACTAATTACACCATACCCAAATACCTTGTCAAGTTTGACAATAACTACACATACTGCCTAAGAGCAGTAACTAATACTGCAGCATTGGGTATTAAAGTATCAAGGAAATAGAACTCACTTTTCATTTTAAAACATAAGAACAAATTATCTACCTATCTGAAAATAAAGCAATATATAACTGCCTTGTATATCATTATATAACTGCCTTGTAGAAAAAGATGTTCTGTATCATTTTAACTAGTTAATAGGCAAGAGGCAGATACATGTGGATGGCTTTATTGTGAGATCATTTGCTTCAGAACATAAGTCACCTGGCTATTTCTGCTACCTATACATACCAGTGATCATGGAATCAGTGATAGATGGTAGTCCCTCTGATAACACATTTAAGGGTAAAACACTAGTGCAAAGCAATAAGAAATGGAGTAAAAATTTCCTTTAGAAAGCATCTCTGGCTTAAACCAAATCTTATATAAATGTGAATGCTTGTTTCAAAGCACACTTTTAATCTAACATTTTACAAAAAAATCTTTTTGTAAAGGAAGGTAAAAGCTGCCAAATATGACAAATTTGTAGAAATAAACTTAATATTTTACAGTGAACTCCAGCATGGGAAAATAATATAAATATATGGGCCAACAACACGGGATTATAAAATATATCTCTAAAAATAATGAGTTAAAATCATGTGTTCTTACTCTACAGGGGAAAAAGTAAACCTAGAAGTACAGGGGGGAGACATTTGTTAATTCTCTCGTGCCATGAAATGTATTATTTTGCGTAAATTATTTCATGTAATCCTCACAAAAACCCTGTGTTAGGCCTTATCATCAAGATTTTATAGATGAGCAAAGGGAAGCTCCAAAAGGTTAAAGTGGATAGTACGTGATGGAGTTGGTGTTCTGACTCCAAAACCCAAGCTGCAGTGCTGACTTAGTTCCTGTGTCTCCTACAAAGGCCAGGTAGGGGAGAAGCCTCCCGGGCAGTTGTCTTTCTTTCCATTTATCATGGCACCAAAACTGTTACAATCACTTATACTGAGTTCCCAAAGCTGCTTGCACCACTAACTCGATGGTCACCTGGTATCTCTACCAATCACGACGAAGGCGTCTTGCTGCAGATCCACGGCAGCTTTCTCGCTGATGTCCAGCAGCACTCTCTGCACATCTTGCTCCTCAGCATTTGCCAAACAGGTAGCGTGTTCCTCCCAGGAAGGTGCCAGCATTTCACCCAAAGGATCAACCAATTTGACACCATTGTCTTCCTTAAAAGAAAAACAATTGATAAGCCATCTGTGCATCTTTTTTTTATGGTAAAAACTTTTTATTTATAAACAACCATGTATTCTTTCACCTGCTAGTATTTCAAACATAAGGGAAGAGCCAAAGCATATAGTCAATAAAGTGGGTAATGAATAATGATGTTTAGTTAAGAATGTAAAAAGTCTTAGTTATTAACCTTCAACTATTTGTATAGCACATGAGCATCTGTGCATCTTTAAAAGGGAGAGTTGAGGAAGTAAATTTCAGATGCTTTTTCCCAACAAAAGACAGTGATGGCTGAGAGCTTCACCAGTGACCCTTACTGAATGCCAGGCCCTACACTAGGTGTTTTGTACTCATTAGCTCAGTAGATCTTCATGACCCCACACACCAACCTAATGATCCCATTATTATTCTAATCTGACAAAACGAAGATTCAGATCAAGTTATTTGCTTACGTTCATACAGCCAAGAAGTGTCAGTGCTGATAGTAAAACGTTAAGTCCATCTGACTCTTTCACCCAATAGACTACACTAGCTTTAAATGGCTGCCATCTGTGCTTTAACCACCCGTTAACTAAGGCACAGCTGGAGCAGAGTGAGGGCCTAGAACTCCTCACTATTACTTTCGATTCTAAGCACATCCTGGCCAGTGTGTCAACCAGTGGGTGGCACAGAAGCTGAAAACTGACTCCTAATTCTGTCCTGCTCAAATTTCTGGTGGAAAAAAAGTACAGTTTAGAGCAGCGGTCGCCAACCGGTGGTCCGCAGACCACTAGTGGTCCGTAAGGTCCAAAAGGTTGGCGATTACTGGTTTAGAGTGAATGTCAACTGAAGGAAACAGCTCAGAATTGTTTTAAGAAATGCAATAAATATGAGGTTCTGCCTACAAATCATTAATAAATTACAGAAATTTAGACATGCATTTATAATAATGCACATTTAGAAGTTGGACAAGCAAAGTCCTCATGTTTTGAGGGAAGAGGTTACAATCCTACATAGCTTTAACTTACTTTTGTTTTAGCTACAAAGGCAAAAATCTCATGCCATAGTAACCAAACAGAAGCATATTATTCAAATCATGTACATGGTGGGGCAAAAGTAGGTCTACAGTTGTTCATATGGAAAATAATACAATAATTAATAAATAATAATACAAGAATAAATTGTGTTTCGCATACTCACAACTGTTTTTACCCCACCCGTATTAGTGAGCCACAGAATAAAAGTTTAGTTGTATCAAAAGGAATCTATATTTATAAAAGGCTAAGTGACTCGCGGGTAGCTATGATGCACACTGACCACCAGGGGGGCAGATGCTCAACACAGGATCTGCAGAGCAACAGAAACTTTGCAGAGTGCCATCTCGAACTCTGGGACCCCTCAGGGGGTGTCGGACTGCTGGTTTTAGCCTAATCCCCGAAGGCCAGGCCCAGGGACCCCACCTGCCGGAGGGACCCTGCTCACTTCACAGACACCCTTTGAGCCCCAGCACCACCCCAGGTGCCACCTCCTAATTAATTTCCTTTCAATGTGCACGAATCCATACACCAGGCTTCCACTCCTTTGATAAAAACTTGTCATAAACACCAACACCATGAGCCTCATCAACATTTTGTCCAGAGCTCACTTTTGGATCCCTGGAGCCTCCTGTTTGGCTGTTTCTTCAGAACAAGAAACTATTCCCTGGCTATTAAAAAAACCTGTCTGAAAAATTTCAAAATGTACTACGTCTTTGCAAACGTTTGCCCTTTCCCCACCTTGCTTCTAATCTCTCTAATTTCTGTTAAATTAACAGAGGTAAGATTTTTTTATTACTGATACTGTGGCAACTAATTTGGAAGGACATTCTGTTATTTCTCTAATGTGGACACTCCCCCCAAAAATAACAGACTCATTTCTTCTCTCCACACCCTCTAATGAATCATGAGCCATATGACCACTCATTAAGAAAAAGCTATTTCACATCCAAAGGCACAAAACGACGTGATGGCCCATTCCTAGAATTAGAATTTGAACACTAGGTCAAACTGCTCAACACATTAAGGTTTAGTCTTGTAAATAAAGGTTTGCTTGATCAGAGAACTAAATGCATTACCTCAGGATTGTGTGATGCTGTTACCATGACTCCTATTGTAGATTTTGTCTGTTTTGACCGCAGAACAGCTAATAATCCCATGCGAAACATGACATGATCAAGATGTTCTGCTTTTGTTCGAAATCCCGCAGTCCCATATTGAAGAATGAGTCCACTGGGCTTGGCATGTAATGCTGAGTGTTTTGTAATAGCATCTAAATCCATGTCTACAAAATTAAGGAATATTTTTCAGGCATATTAAGAAATCTTTTAAGGACCATTTGCTTCAAAAACTGCCACCCCAAATAGGCATGCCTCATTTTGAACCTCCCCAAAGAACCATTTTTTTAAAAATACATTTTATTTATTTTTTACAGAGAGGAAAGGAGAGGGACAGAGAGTTAGAAACATCGATGAGAGAGAAACATCGATCAGCTGCCTCCTGCACACCTCCTACTGGGGATGTGCCCGAAACCAAGGTACATGCCCTTGACCGGAATCGAACCTGGGACCTTTCAGTCCACAGGCTGACGCTCTATCCACTGAGCCAAACCGGTTAGGGCCAAAGGACCATTTTTTAAGAGAGAAAAGAATGACAGAACAAGTCCTGGGAGTTGGTAGTACCTAGAAAATCTTGCCCCAATTATATTGTCCACTCCAGGGCAGGGGTCAGTTTATCTCACAACTCATCTCCCATTTTGGCTCTAGGGATATCCCTGGACTTGGGTTGAATTTAAAATGGTCCACTCTCAACTAAAATGAAGATTCCACAGCAAGATTCCTAGACTCCTACAAGATCAAAAATCACCTCATTTTACAAGTGAAACAGCTTAGGCCTGGGCCTCAGTTAAATGAGCTAAATTTACGATGGGTAACTGATGACCCTAAAGCCCAAGGTCGTACTCTCAAGGGGACTGGACCTACATACCCAGAACATGTGGGAAATCTGTGCGGTTCTTTTGTAATTCTTCCGAGCCTACAGAGACTATTCCCAGATGAGAAACAAAGGGTAACAGTCTCCTTCCTCTCCAATACCTTACAGGGGGTGGTTCCAGGACACACTTCTAAGTTAAACTCTGGCCCAGCCAGGTGGCTCCCTTGGTTGGAGCACCCTCCCACACACCAAAAAGGGTTAGGGTTTGATTCTGCTCAGGGCACACAGCTAGGTTGCCATTTCCATCCTGCTGGGTGCATATGGGAGGCAACTGATGTTTCTCTCCCCCTTCCTCCCTCTCTCTCAAATTAATGAACATATCCTTGGAGAAGGAAGGAAGGAAGGAAGGAAGGAAGGAAGGAAGGAAGGAAGCTCTGAAACTAACAACATCTTCCTTTTACCTTTAATTTTAAAAAATCAAACATTGGCCCTTAGCCCTCTAACTTTTCTTAGTCCACTTGGCCACGTCCTCCTCTGGGATAGTCCCATTCCCGGTGGAACTTGGGGCTCCCCGCCTCAGCTGTGTGCACTGCTCAGTCCCTGGGTCAGCCCTCCTTCCAATCAGCCATGAGAGGAGCAGCAGCCCCCCAGCTGCCAGCCTCCCACGGGCGAACCTGGCAGGTGCGGGCCGCCTCCAGCAGCCGCAGTGGGCGAGCACCGCCAGCAAAGCCCATCAACCTTCGGCCGGTGGAGGACCTTGCCTGCCATTTGTAAAACACAGCTGTGGAGCGCTCTGAAATGAGGTGTGCCTGTATCTTGTTTCCTTTATTGCCCTTAATTGCTTCAATGAACAAAAGTTAAAGGAAATGGAGGAAAATGTTTTGTTCGGTTGGAAGAAAGCTGGCGCTCGCCAAGCTGACTTAGTCCCGTCCAAAGTGATCAAACCTCTTTCCCAAGCATGACCACATTCTGTTAAAAACTGACCCGTGGGTAATGTGTCACGGTTATTCATAGGGCGTAAACCAGCCCTGTAAGTCCAAAAAGTCTTTTTGTTATTATTAAAGATGCGTCCACCCCTTCATGCGTTTCACGTGCTGAAACGACTTTGAATGGGTACGTGAACGCTTTTGTTAAAAGTCCTTCCAAGTCCAGTGTCCACGCTGAAAAAGTTAAGCGTGCCCCCCCGCCTCCATTCCATCGTCAGCACCCGGGCTGTTCCCTTCCCTTCCGGCCCGAGGCCCCGAGACCCCCGCCCAGG